TTTACCGGGCAGTTCTATTTGACGATATATATATATATATATATATATATATATATATATATATATATATATATATATATATATATATATATTTCTAATTTTATCTAGTATTATTAGTATCGCGCCTGTATGTGGACGCGAAAACACAGAGGGGACACCCACGAGCTCTGGAAATAGAAACCCGTGTATGAATCCGGGTGACGGAACTTGGTTGCTGAGTGAAACCAAGTATCCTGTGTCGCCTGTTGACTCGGATACAGAGGAGTTTGGCATGGCCCTGGCGCCGGGTTGACGCGCATATAATGGGGAAGAGTCCTTCGGTTTCTTTTTCTTTTGTTTGTTTTGTTCCTCGTAGACCGGGCTTTCGCGTTCGTGCAAAGCCGCGGGGCACTGCCCCGGTCAATATCCTTCGGGACATCCGTTAAGATTGGGACGATACAGAGGAGAGTAGCACGGCCTCGACGCGCGGGCAGCGCATATAAAGTTGGGGCGGGGCCGACTGTGAGAGGCTTGAAGGGCCCAATGCTGTCGGACCACGCTTTGCTGAGGGAGACGGGTGGACAGTGGCAAGAGCAGGGGAGCGACGGGGAGCTGTGAAGGCAGAGGCCGACGGGAGTGCCAAGGTAGCGGAGCGAATGGGCATAGCGTAGGGCATTGTACCAGCAGCGGGCGACTGGGAAAAAGGGCAGGTGGCACTGCGGCGAATGAACCTGCCCGGGGTTCTGCCGCAGGTACATGCGGAGCGGATGGGCAAAACCTCGCGGGATCAGGCAACAACAAGGCTGCCATGCTGACTACCTCATCGGACTTGGGTATAGGGGCGAAAGACTAATCGAACTGTCTAGTAGTTGGTTCCCTCCAAAGTTTCCCTCAGAAATGGCTGGCGAGGTCGGACGGCGCTCTGCGAACGACTTGCGGACGGGCACTAAGGCTGCCAGTAGGATACTATCCGACTGTGGGTAGGAGTCGGAGCGCTGGCACAGCAGGGCGACGGGTGCAGAGGCGGAGTGGTAAAAATAGACGAATGAATCGGGGCGGGATCCGGCGCCGGGTGCATGCGAGGAATGAGAGAGACGAAGGGCGTCGGGCGGTAGGCCGATGAGGTGCACACAAGGAAGGAAGAAAGAGCGGATGGATTTGGACGGGGTTTTGAGCCAGGTGCATGTGAAAGTTGGGATGGCGGAATGACGAAGGGGGAGAAAGATGGCAGGTAGAAGATAGCGAAGCCCGCTCGATTCTTGACGAAATCGAGCGGGGGGGAAAAGGCGATCACGGGTTTTTTTCCCCGGGCGGGTGCGTTGCTGATGTTAGTTTTAATATTAGTAGAGTAGGAAAGGAGTTAGTACGAAAGGAGACTGTGTGAAGCTACGGCGGGGGTAGAGAAGGAGGCAAGAGGAAACGAGTATCTCCCTCGTTTCTAAACAGAATCAGGTAAGGGAGGCCTTGTTTTTGAGGTTTTGGGCCAAAGCGAGCTTAGTGGTAAGGGTAGTTTCGATGTTAGATTAACAAAATTAGAGTTAGTAAAGGGAAGTGGTGCATGGACATGGAGGAGTGATGGGAAGAGAAGTCGAGAATTTCTCTCGATTCCTTATGAAATCGGGCAGATTAAAAAGTTAGCCGGACGTTTTGAGGGACGGCGAATCCGACGGGGGATTCAGATCAAGGAGTGAGTAGCTCGATTTGGGGTTGTGGGATTATGAGCTGCGCCCAAGGGGAGAGAAATGAAAGTAGAATGAACCTTCCTGTATTTTGGTGGAAGATTCATTCGTTTTTTTTCTAACTGCTTCTGTGGGGGACGCTGCAGGCAGGGAGCGAGGTTGGAGACTTACCTGTTGACAGCTGCGTTGCTTGATGTGCCGATGCGGGTAAAGATTTCCCCACTGCTCTGCGGGTGCAGCTGAAGGACAGTGTACCTGCCCGCTTTCTAGCGGGAAGTTTATTCGGGCTGCTCGATCTAGGTGATGAGACGTGGGCCGCATGTGAAGAGGGGGTACGTATGCGGCGCTGTTCCGGGGGCATGGAAACAATGCGTCAGGTGTCTGGCTGTTCTTAGTTGGTGGAGTGAATTGTTAGCAGGGATTGACAGATTGAGAGCTCTTTCTTGATTCTATGGGGGGGGGGTGTTGGCTTACCTCTTTTCGGACAGAGAACTTGTGAACAGCA